ACTATAAGGGTTCTTTCCTGATACACTTAAATTTTCAATATGTTATTAATTTAAAGGAGTGTTCTTGAGAATTAAACAAAAAGGTCAGGGGAGCTATTTTTAGTTTCAAAAGGAAAAATCAGTTAGACTCTCTCTTTTTTTTACAGTTTATTTATTTATTTATTTTGAGAGAGAAAGTTCTCAAGCAGGGCAGAGAGAGACAGAGACAGAGAGGATCCCAAGCAGGCTCCGTGCTGTCAGCGTGCAGCCTGGTGCGGGGCTTGAACTCATGAATCGTGAGATCATGACCTGACCTGAAATCAAGAGTTAGATACTTAACCAACTGAGCCACCTAGGCATCCCTCGAACCTCTTTTTTTTTTGTTTGTTTGTTTAATTTTTAACTTTTTGCCATAAATAATGGCTAATGCTATTTTGGATGCCAGAAAATTTTCTTCTATTATTTGATAAAATCAAAGATTTATTCCAAAAACTAATTTTCTCAACATTAAATATTCATAATGTAAGTAAATTATAATTTTTTAATATGAAGTTTATTGTCAAATTGGTGTCCATACAACACCCAGTGCTCATCCCAACAGGTGCTCTCCTCAATACCCATCACCCACTCCCCTCCCTCCCACTCCCCATCAACCCTCAGTTTGTTCTCAGTTTTTAATTTTTAAAATTTCTCTTAAAAATTTATGCATTCACACTGTTGATCACCAGAATAAGAGTTAAATACATTGTTTAGACATCAGTTTCTTGATGTTTTGAATAATATTTTCTGGCAGTTTCTTCTGTTTCATAGCCTGAGTATATGGTACTTGGCTAGCTTCCATCTCATTAAAACTCATGCTATTGAAAGGATATCAGCATTTCCACTGAGAGTTATAGTAGTATCAGTTTTAGCAAAACCTCATCTCATTGTGTAAAACTATGCTGGATTAAGAGTGAGGAATTTGCAAACTGTATAGCTTCAAAGTAATTAGTGAGTTGTTCTCGGCTGCCCCTTGGATTTTTCTCTTTTTGGAAAAACATCAGTGCCTGGAGACTTGAATTTGGATATTCTACACTTAATGAATGACAATTTTCCATTCCTTTTTAACACTTCCTATAGAATTATATTTTAGATATAAATATAAGTGAAAATTCCTGCACTTGCCATTAATGTTCTTTCAGTAAAAACAATATTTTTAAATTTCTACTAAGGAAAAGCACTGCTAGGCTTTTCCATGATCTTTATGTGGCTGTTCTTTATAAATAAGTTCAATTCAAATTTATTTTTTAGAGTGAAGTTATTGAGGGGTGCCTGGGTGGCTCAGTTGATTAAATGCTGACTTCAGCTCAGATCATGATCTCACGGTTTGTGAGTTCGAGCCCCACTTCAGGCTCTGTGCTGACAGCTCAGAGCCTGGAACCTGCTTTGGATTCTGTGTCTCCCTCTCTCTCTGTCCCTCCCTCCTCCCCGCTTGCAGTCTGTTTCTCTCTCTCTCTCAAAAATAAATAAATATTTTTTAAAATTATAAAAAAAAAGAAGTTATTGAGAAATGTGCTGTGATTGAAATTATGAAGCCATTTATATATCACTAAATACATCATATATTTCTTTTGAAATAAATGAGAATCAATTGCTTATTTTTTATAACACTGATAATTTGGTAACTGATATCATTATGATATTTATACTACATTTTGATACATATGTATGTATATACATATATGTATTCACATATTTGTATATATGTTTAAAATTATTTATGATTTTTAAAATTAGTGTGGTAGGAAGTAGTTAGCACATAAACTTTAAAAAGTGACATTATCCTTTCATTTTAATTTATTAGGTGACATAAGCTATTCTTTCAAAATATTATATTGGAACAGAGATGTACCTATCATTTGACATAGTAGATTTTACAGTCAATTAACAGTCTTGCTTTCTGTACATGAAACAGTAGCCACATGCAATCATGTGCTGACCTGTCTGGTTTCGAGTTCAGCCATACATTTTCCAAGGGAAGTTTGCACAGGTTGTAGTGCTTAGGCAAGGCTTCATGGAAGATGCGGGTACACTTTAAAGAGAAGAAAGAGTTGCTGAGGCAGAGAGCAGGGCTGGTGGCTTGATGAGAGCCTCAGCCTAGAGAACAGGTGAGAAGTCACAGCACAAGGAGGAGGAAAGCAGCAAACAGTGGCAGGGCCACAGGGGAACAGAGTGGAAAATGGCATTGTTCGATAGCGGTCAGTTTAAAGAGAAGCGCTAAAGCAATCCTCTGTGTTTTCCCCTGATTCATTGGGGAGCTAACAAAGGCTTTTGAAGTAAGGAATGGCCTGATGAAAAATGTTGAAGGAAGAGTCAGCAGGGTGTGAAGAGAGCAGAGTCGAGGGAGGGAAGGAAGGAACACCCAGGTTGCAGAGGTGTCTGTCCCAGGGCACGTGGTGTGCAGGGTCAGAAGCATCACCCTGGTAGATGAACTTGTGTTCCTCTGTGTTCTGTGGAAAGAATACACCATGTTCCTTTTAAGCCCAATATTTTATTACTACAAGTTACATGTGGCTATGGTGATTTTCTTTACCTGGGGTGTGGGTAAAGGGTAGTATCATTAGTGGGAATGTGGGGTCTTTTAGGCTGCAGTGCTGGGTTCTCTTAGCTGATCTCAGTCTGATTGTGGAAGAAGGGAGAGTGTGAAAAGCTTATGCTTGTTTGTGATATTGGCCCTGTAAAGTGACCCATGCGGGGAGGGGGGTCTATGTGGACATGTGCAACTTGATCTTTTTTTCCCACCAATTTATCATATTTTCTCAGTTGGTTATTTTTATAAGTAGTAACAAGGGATTATGGTATAATTATGAACTAATAATTTTTACTTCCTTACTAATTCCATTGATACTTATCTGACATGTATTAAAAAGTTCTGCTACTTTATATAGGATATGAACATGAACTAAATATGTACAGGTAAGAAGAAAGGTACACAAATTCCTTTTCAAAACAGATGGCAGGGCGTCTGGATGGCTCAGTTGGTTGAGCATCCAACTTCAGCCCAGATCATGATTTCACGGCTTAGGGATTCAAACCCCTCGTGGGGCTCTGCACTGATAGCTCAGAGCCTGGAACTTGCTTTGGATTCTGTGTTTCCCTCTCTCTCTGCCCCTCCCCTGCTCTCTCTCTTTCTCTCTCTCTCTCTCTCTCTCTCTCTCCCTCTCTCAAAATAAATAAACATAATAAAATAAAAATAAAACATATGTCAATTTCCTGATGGGGGAAATCTTCTGCCATTTGAATCCTTATTTTATCAGAAATTGTTATTATTAACAGGATTATGGCACACACACATATCATATATATATTATATATATTATAACATATATATTATATTATAGAGTAATATCTAACATAATTCTCTCCTGGCTCAAGTATAACTTGGAATTTTTTTAAGTTTATTATTTATTTTGAGAGAGAGAGAGAGCGCAAGCAGGGGTGGGGCAGAGAGACAGAGGGAAAGAGAGAGAATTCCAAACAGGCTCTGCACTGTCAGTGACGAACCAGATGTGGGGCTCGAATTCAAATCGCGAGACCATGACCTGAGCTGAAGCTTAGCTGACTGGACCACCCAGGCACCCCACTATAAGTTGGAATTTTTAAAATCTTTTTTTATTTTTTATTTTTTATTTTTGGGACAGAGAGAGACAGAGCATGAACGGGGGAGGGGCAGAGAGAGAGGGAGACAGAATCGCAAACAGGCTCCAGGCTCTGAGCCATCAGCCCAGAGCCCGACGCGGGGCTCGAACTCCCGGACCGCGAGATCGTGACCTGGCTGAAGTCGGACGCTTAACCGACTGCGCCACCCAGGCGCCCCGTGTTGGAATTTTTAAAGACCCTCAATATACAGAATCATTTGAGAATGCATTTTTGGAATAGTCACTCTGGTCTCAGATACCTTGTAGTGATTTTGGAGCTAAAAAGACTACGGGCATCATGTCTGCCTCTATTCAGAACTCACCAAATAAAATAAGGCCATTTGAGAAAAAACAAAGAAACAAAAAACAAGTACAGTGCCACAAAGTTATTTCTCTAAACCACCTTTAACGTTTTGTGTCTCACCTCCTGTCCACCCACCATTACTATTTAGTGACTGTCAGGGAGATGAATGAAAAGTGTCACTTTAAATTGGTGCAGGTGCTGACTCAGGCCTTTGTCATATGTTTTTTCATTTTGAAATCTTTGCTTTGCAGACTGTCATGCCAGTAAATGCTGGATACAAGTAACATCACTATTCCCTACCTGCTATTAGGCAGAACTGCCGTAGAGGGTTTCCTGTTGACATTTTCAAATCTAGCATGACAGTGTAGCCAAAATGATGGGGAGACCTAAAAAAAGACAATGTGAATTCATACTCAAAAATTTCTTCTTCCTATATGGAATGATGTGGTTTTAAAGAGTGCACATTTTTCAGTTTTTCATGAGCAAGGATAATGGATTGACATTTATTTGTACCTTTCCATTTATTAAAGATTAGGTAAATGTGCTCTTGGTATGTTCCATTGATTTGTTCTAATTCTTCCTGTGTGGTTCATGAAACAGCTGAAAATTGTTCGTTGGGGATATACTTTGCTTTTGAAAGCTAGAATAATATTTCAAATGAGCATTAGAAAGCCAAAATGAATCTGAAACCTTGGATATTTGATTATTGAGATGAAAATTCTTTTACACGTTCTTCTTTTATTGCTTTAGGAACTTTAACAATATTTTTGGACATAGAGGAAAGGAATGTTAATACTCCAGATGTTTAATTTCATGTAATATATTAATATTAAGAGTTAGAAGTGTTTTATTCCTGAGCACTAACTGCATTTAATATACAAACATTTGATTTTTTATTTTTATGTTCTTCATTTCACACATTTAAAGCGAAGATACTTTTAAGAACTCAGTGGTGTTGGAACTTTTGTGAATTGAATGGTTGTGTTGATATAATTTATATATTATATTTGTTGTTCACCTTTACCCCCATTAATTTCCAGCTGATTTCCATAGTAGTGGACACATTGTTATCAATGGATGGAAAATACATAACACAGCAAAAAATAAATGGTTCGTGTGCATGGCAAAAACACCTGAAGAGAAGCACGAATGGTTTGAAGCTATTTTGAAAGAAAGAGAACGGAGAAAAGGTGGGTGTATGAATTGGCCACTATTACACTTTTGTGAAGATTCTACCTTAGCAAGAAAGCAGACAATGGGCAGAAATTATGAGAAAGTAAAAAGGTGTGTGATGTTCACCTGGATTTTCCAAGTGAGGTAAGACCCATGCTAAAATGCTTTATGGATACTTCTAATATTATCACTGAAAGAAAAGAAAAACCTTGTATAGTTAGTGAAATAATTATATTGTGGCCAGCAGTGTCTTTTAAATATTATGTTAGTCTGTTGAGGCTGCTATGACGGATACCACAGACTAGGTGGCTTATAAACAACAGAAATTTATAACTCACAGTTCTGGAGGCTAGGAGCCCAAGATTTGGAGTCTGGTAAGAGCAATTTTCCAGTTCCTAGATGGCCATCTCTTCACTGTGTCCTCACATAACAGCAGGGCAAGAGATCTCTCTGGGGTCTTGTCGGTAAGGCCATTACTCTCATTCATGAGGACTCCACTCTCATGACCTAATCACTTCCCAAACACCTTACCTCCTAACACCAGCACAATTAGATGTCAGGTTTGAACATATGAATTTGGGAGGCATGCAAACATTCAGTCTACAGCAAATAGTTTCGTTTGCTTTAAAAGTTGTTAAATTTTCTTTGCACCTTATTCCCGCCATTTCTAAAGCATCATCTCAGAGTTTTCCTGTAAGAGACAAACTTCCATAGTATAAGGCAGTGTTGTAGGGCCTCCAACAGTTGTTCTCTATATATGTAACAGTACAGTGAAAATCTCTAGACCAAATATGTTAGTGTCCTAATTATAGAATAAATCACTTGGGATACACATTAACTTTTTACAATGCCGTTGACTATAATGCAAGTCAATAAGGAGTTTGTTCACATGAAGTGAGGCCTGGTTCAAAATTGCTTCACGTTTTTAGCAAGATTCGCAAAAGGTACTTGATCTGGCAGTATTCAATTGTGTGACGTTTATCTGCAATTACGCACATTTCTTTAATTCAGCTAAGAAATAGAAATGCTTGTGTTACTACTAGTTTCTTTACCCAATAATGGATAAGAAACAAGACAGTATGTATTCCTTTTCCCAGAGACTTAGGAATAAAATATCCCATTGCTAATGAAATTTTGAAGCACAAAGAACCCTTTCTTCCATCTTCAGAAATTTTTCCTTGAAGAACATACAAAGCTCCTATTTCGATTAAAATATTCATAGCACACATTTATAGGAGCATTTCCAAAGCATTTTCAAATACTTAACTCCTTTGATTGATCTTGGATGGAGAACTAGTTAGAAAAATTTAAAACATAGATTATGAATACCGAATAACTGATTCTTTCAGTTTTGTTGAATCCAGCAATCAATTCAAATAGCATAGCAAGTCATTTGAAAGGTAAAATAAATTTTTCATCAAGTTGAACCTTTATTTATTTTTTCAGAATGGCTGTGCATACAGATAAACCTAAGGTGAAAAAGGAAGGGAGGAAGGAAAGGAGAGAGAAAGAAAGAAAAGCAAGCAAATAAGCATGTTGTATAAATTAGTTTATGTGAACAGGCTCTATTCTTGATGGAATATTCCCTATTACTGACAAGTGGTAATTGCCCCTCCATTGTAAAAATAAATTTTTCGTAAGAAAATTTGTAGCCAGAAAACTAAAAATAATTCAAGTATTTCTTCTTCTGCAACAGTTTGTCAGTCCCGTCCAAACGTCCCAGATTGTGGGCATTCTCAGGCTTTCAGCTTTGACACTGCTCTCCTCTAAGATAGGTCCTTGCCTGGGTTACCTGTTCCCACCAGATCCACATCAACATCTACACTGCCACTTCATCCATCTCTCCTGAGCTTCATACGCATGTGTTCTGCTGGCTCCTGGACTCTACCTGAACGTCCAAATTCAATATGCACAGTATTGGACGCCTCCTTACCTGAATCCCTTTTTCAGAAATGCGTCTAACCCCCCACTCCCCAGTTCCAGGCTCTCAGGTCAAAAGCCTAGAAGACATCCTGATCTCTCTTTTCTCCATCGTGCCTGCATTTAACCCTTTGCTGTATCCTGTCAGTACTGCTCCCTAGATATGTCTCAGCATCATTCTCTTTGCCCTGTAGCCCCTGCTATTGTCTTCAGGGTTCAACTTGCCTGAATATTTTATGCTTCCTCCTAATGGTCTCCCTCGTTTTAAACCCTGCCCCCTTCACTTTGTTCCTGTATTGTCATCTGAGCTTTGTTTCTGAAGCAACAAAACTTTCTTTCCTGTCCTGCCCTGCTTTACCCCTCCCTCTGGTGGAAACCCTTACATGCTTCCCTGATACCTCAGGGATGAAGTATATGGAAACTGCGGTTGGGCAAGGTCCCTAACTAACCCGCCAGTGTGTCCTGTCCTCTCATGTAGGGCCTGGAGCTGTGCCCCCGTGCTGCTTCACCTCAGGTAGCTCTTGTTAACTCTCTCTCTTTCTCTCTGGAAATACCGTTCACCCCTCTGCTTTTAAACATTGGTCTTCTGTGAAACCTTTCTTAATATTTCTGTGTAGAGGCAAGATCCTCTGAATATGCCTTTATTGTATCACAGTTTCTCCTTTAAGGCTGTTTCCAGGGCCAGCCAGTCCACTTGTGCCAATCTAATTCTGCAGAAGGGGTGCAGGGAGCTTGGAGGCTCTTCCTCCAGTGGCCAAACCATGTGCCTTTGGGCACAATTTACACAAGGTGCTATATAGCCCTCCAGATCCTGTCTTGACTGTCTCCTTGGTATCCCAAGAGCTTCTTGAAAATCAGGGCCCTAGCGTATGGAGCTCTGTGTCTGCAATCCCCTGCATGCGGTAGACGTGAATTAAATGTTTGTTTAATGAAGGCATGAGTGAGTGAGGAGACTTTCAGTACCTGTCCTTTGTTTCATTTCTGATAGGTTTAAAATTAGGAATGGAGCAAGACACCTGGGTAATGATCTCCGAACAGGGTGAGAAACTTTATAAGATGATGTGCAAACAAGGAAATCTGATCAAAGACAGGAAAAGAAAACTGACCACGTTCCCTAAATGCTTCCTTGGAAGGTAAGGTTGGTAGTCTAGGTGCATGTATTTCTTTCATGTTTCCACTATCTCACGTGTTAACTTTCCTTTAATAATTTGTTTTTCTTTAACAAATATTTCTCTAAGCATTTTCGAATACTTCTTTGCTATCAATGTTTCCTGGACCGTAGTGGGGTGAAGGAATGGATCTAGGGCCAGAAGTCATACAAAACTTAAGACATCTATCCATTCATCCATGACTTCAACAGTTTTGGATGTACTGTGTTCCAAGGGCGAAGCAGAGGTTGGGGTCAGGCAGGGGCTGGCAGGCAGGCGGGTTTACCTATAGGGGACAGAGCCTGGCAAGGATGTGAGTACAGGGCCTACGAGTCAGAGAAGACTGGAGAAGTGAAGACACACAGTCTAAGCTGGCAATTAATTCAAAACTTTGACAGCTGGGCTCAGCATGAAGGCCTATCGATGAGGAGTCTGGAAAAGTAGGTCATGCAGTGAGCCTGGCACAGAGCAACAGGCGGGGAAGTCACCTGAGCTTTTCACATAGATTGGCTGTGTGTCCTTTGGTTTCTCCAGACAGCTGTATGTGGGAATCCCTGCTGGGTTCGGCCTGCAGGACTGAAGGGAAAGGCGGCCGCCTTCAGGTACCGCTGCTTAGGCCAGGCCCTATGCTGGCTTCTTCCTATACGTTATTTCTAATCCTCAAATACATACTTAAGAGGTAAAATCTTTATATTTTTTAAAGATTCAAAACCCAGCCATCAGGGAGCATACTGTGCTCACATTCATATAGCTAGTAAATGCCAGTGTCAACTCTCTAAAAGTAGTTCAGAGCCCAGACTTCACCATCAGACTGTCTCCATGCAAATCTGCTCCTACCTCTGGCTAGTTGAGAGATTTGGGAAGTTTAAACTTCCTTTTCCTCTCTAAAAATGGAGATGATTGTAGTGCTTACTTGCAATACATACCAGAATGCCTTCTTGATTAATTATGTAGACACAACAAAATAGCCATAGGCCACACCAGCTCCCAACCCCATGAGAAGAATATAAGCCAGGAAACCCTGGCCTGCAGGGCAGCATGGGGTCTCTTCTCCAGTGAGCATGGTCCTCACAGCAGACCACCCAACTGCCAGCAAGCTAGTGTGGCTATCATCTGTAGGCCCCCAGGTGACAGCTTTTGTGCAAGAGAAAGAGCAGATGTGAGCCCACCTGCGCTTGGAAACCTCAATGCTGCAAAGACACTCTTTCCTTCCTTCCTTCCTTCCTTCCTTCCTTCCTTCCTTCCTTCCTTCCTTCCTTCCTCCCTCCCTCCCTCCCTCCCTCCCTCCCTCCTCTCTCTCTCTCTCTCTCCCTCTCTCTCTTTCTCTCTCTCTCTCTCTCTCTCTCTTTCTTTCTTTCTTTCTGTCTTTCTGTCTTTCTGTCTTTCTTCTTTTTTTAATGTTTATGTATTTTTGAGAGAGTGCCAGCAGGGGGAGAGGTAGAGACGGGCACAGAGGATCTGAAGCAGGCTCTGCACTGACAGCAGCAAGTCTGACGTGAGGCTTGAACTCAGAAACTGCAGAACTCGGACACTCAGCCTGCCAACCCAGGTGCCCCACAGAGACACTATTTCTTATTATAACCTTTTAGGCATAACTTCCCACTTCTCATAGGGACATGCCTACTTATAAGAGTGTCACTTCAAGCTATGGCTTCTCACCAGGTATTTATTAATATTCCATTTACCCGTCAGGGGTCATTTTTACCATAAGAATGCTGCCTGGCAACACAGCTGATGCCCTGCCTTCATCAGGTTCTAGGAAACAGAGCTAGAAAGTTAATTCAGGGTCGCGTTTTCCTAATTGAAAGAGCAGGGTTTTGTAAACCCTTTACCCTGACCATAATGCATGTTAGTTGCAATGATTGATTGTAAGCCTTCTCCAGAGCGCCTGGTACATAGGAGAGACACAGTAAATTTTAGCTGTGTTCATTGTGGCTTTTTCCACAACAGCACGCTACCTCTGTGTTACAGCCCAAGGTGGAGATTGTTTTTGACTGGATTACAGTCCTTTTGCAGAGCGTTAATGGGATCTCCTTGTGATTTGAATAAGTCCCACAGTAAAGCCACCCATTAACTTCCTTTCGTACCCCTTCTCTTTTTTTATCCTATGCTCCTAATTAATAGAAATACTTAAAAAGTGCTCTTTTCCTGATTTTTTGTCAGGAATCTGCTGACATCGGAACAAAATGATGCTTTAGCTACATACCAAACAGCACAACTCACCTGTCAGCCACTGACATTTAATAAGCGCTCAAAATGTGCCAGGCACTGTGGCCTTTATCATTCATCAGCTCATTTAATCCTTTGACAGTGCTATGGGGTTGATATTCTTACTATTTTTGTGCTATTGAGGACAAAACTGAAGTTTTACTTCTGTTTAAACTTTCTTTTGGATGGCTCCTATTTAATAAAAGAATTAAAAGCATTTTAACAACTTCTTCTGCCTTAAAATGTACTTTTTAGTCTAGATACCCATTTTTAGAATTTCATGTCCCTCAGTTATTTGACTGTAGCCATATGCATTGCTCTTGGTTTTGGATAAATGGAAAAGTAATTTTCGACATTTTCCATAGCTTGGCTTCTCTGACCTCTGTGCAAAATTAAAACCATTCTAAAATGTATCTGTGACTTTATGTAAGAGTTCAAATGTTAGGTTTTTATAACATGAGCACCATAGAATATTTTATTGTAAAACGTTTCTGTATCTAATGTTCTTCTAATGATACCACATGGCCATAACAATTACCATGACCCAGCTGGTGCTCTCCTGTATTGCAAAGCATCATCCTACTTATCTGTGATATCTGGGGCTCCTCTTCCCACTCCAAAATGGTGACAGATGTGAGCTGTGATCCTCTCTGTCCTTCACAGCCACAGCAGATGTATGCGGTGGACAGTTCTGATGGATTGTTTTGTGCTGGAGTATTCCTTTTGGATGACGGTTTAGATTCAACAGTGAATTTACTAGATAATTTTAACAGTTGAAAACAGTATAGGAAGACTTTCCTATGGCTTTTGGTGTGTATTAATTTTACATTGCTGCAAAATAAGTTATCACACACCTAGTGGCTTGAAAAAACTGCCATTCATTAGCTCATAATTCTCTAGGTGAGAAAGAAGTCCAGGTGAGCAATACTGGGTTGCCTGCTTAGGGTCTCACAAGGCCAAAATCAAGGTTGTGGGTTGGGCTGAGGCTGGGCCCTTATCTTAAGGCTCTGAGAACAAATTCACTTCCAAGCACATTGAACTTGCTGGCAACTTCAGTCCACAGAATTCAGTCCTCTGTGGCTGTAAGTGTAAGTCCTATTTCTGTAAGTGTAAGTTCTGACTGTTGGCCAGGACCACTCTCAGAGAGTCAGCTGACTTGGGATTTAAATTTCATATACAAAATCCATTCACAGCACTACCAAGATTAGGATTTGATTACAAAACCAAAGGATGGAATTCTTTTTTTTTTTTTAATGTTTATTTATTTTTGAGAGAGAGAGAGCGAGCGAGCAGGGGAGAGGCAGAGAGAGAAGGAGATACAGAATCCTAAGCAGGCTCCATGCTTTTAGCTGTCAGCACAGAGCCGGATGTGGGTCTCAAACTCGCAAACCAAGAGATCATGACATGAGCCGAAGTCGTACATTTAACCAACTGAGACACCCAGGCGCCCCAAGGAATGGGATTCTTGATGGGGTGGGGATAAGAGGACATGTTTAGAATTCTGTCCACCATATGGGATATGAATTTTTTTATTTTTATTTTTTAGTTTTTAGTTTTTAGTTTGCCTTCTTGGAGTTTCAAACACACTGGTTCTCTGTGCCTGAAAAGCCACATTCCAGACAGTCTGTTTCTTATATATTAAATCATTATTATTCTGTCTGTTGGATATCTTTAGGGTCTCTTATATTCTCTTTATAGTTAAAACTACTCTGAAATTTTCCATTTGTGTTTATTAGAGGTCTCAGTAAGTTGAATAGTTATTAAGTATAGTTTAGGTAAGCTATGGACATTTGTTTCCTAGGATAGAGTAAAATTTAAATAATTTTGGGCTTTGCATATGTGAAAAAATGCATGCTGAAATGCACTGCAAATATTTTTTTATATTTGAGACTCCTTCCATAGCTGCTTGATGAAAGCATGGTACAAATAGACTTTCAGAGGAAAAAATTAACTTTTTCACTGGATTTCTATTGCAGTGAATTTGTGTCATGGCTGTTGGAAATTGGAGAGATTCACAGGCCTGAGGAAGGGGTTCACTTAGGACAAGCATTGTTAGAAAATGGAATCATCCACCATGGTAATTCTTTTATGAAATTATTAATTATAAAATATTAAAAACTAAATTATTCTGTTTATCCACAGATTGCATGATTTCATTAATCAGTTTAACGTAGAGCAAATCACCACATTATAGGATGCTTATGTGTTTTTAACAACATATTTGAGTGACTAATAAATACAGAACTACATTTCAGGGAGTATGGGGTATGGTGATATATTTGCTAACTTTAACACGAACGACTACAACACAGGCAAGAATTAGAAATACAGGTAAGTGCGGGAGTGTGGAGGAAGGAATGGCAGGTTCTCACTGGAGTATTTGGGACTGCTTCATGAGGGAAAGGGCATTAAGGTTGCACAATGTAGAGAGTAGAACTCTCACAGGGACAGAAAGACAGAAGGATGTCCCACCCTGAGGAATGGTATAGGTGCTCAGGCATGGGAGTGAAAAAGTTCATGGTGGCCTCTTCAGGAACTAGCACAGAATGTCACATGGCAAGAGAGTATACTTCATGGATGAATATATGGAGGGAGGATGTGGTGAGAAAGGTAGGCACATCTGATCCTCTGTGTCAGCACAGAGCCCGAAGCGAGGCTCAAACTCGAATTGTGAGATCATGACCTGAGCTAAAGTCAGACGCTTCACTGACTGAGCCACCCAGGCACCCCAAGCTTGAAGAATTTCTAATGCAAAATGTGGGAGAAGAGAAAAAGAGGTAACTGTGAATAAATACGGCTATTGAGCTAAGGTATTTCAGTGTTCATTTTTGTTTTTAATTAGAGTGGGGTGAAAATGAGCTAGATTCTCCCAGTTTTTCCCCACCGCACTGGGTGCCACCGATGTAATGTGCCACCATCTATCCAGATAGAAATCATCTGGAATTCCTTTTTATCCCTCATGCCCTCAAACCCTGTGAACTCTACCACCAAAATAGGTCCCGAACCACACCACTTCTCTCCCTTCCAGAATCCCACCTTCCTCCCAAGCACCATCTTCTCTTTCCTGGCTTCCACTTTCGTCCACCATCCCTATGGTACTCCTCTTCAGATAACAGCTGAAGAGACCTTTTAAAACAGATGTAAGATCAAGGCATCCTCCTACTTATAATCATCTACTGGAGTCCCATTAAACTCAAAGAGAAGTCCAGAACCTCTTACCGTGATCTAGATCTCTTACCATGGCCCATACGGCCCCACATGATAGGGCCCCTGACTTCCTCTGTGAGTCAGCACATGGTATTGTACCTAACTCATTACACTGTGGCCACTGCAGCTTTCTGTCTCTCCCTTGAACACTCCAAGATGACTTGTTCTTGCCATTCTCATTCAACAATTATTTATTAGTTCCTAATATACGCCAGGGACCTTTCTAGGTGCTACAGATACAGCAGAAAATGAAATGATAAAAGTCTCAGTATTCATGATTCACATCTTCAATGACATTCTGACTCATCCCATTATTCCAATAAACTGCGTTTTTAATTTTTGAAATTTTCTTCATGAACTTATCACTCACTAAAATTATCACGTTATTTTATTTATTTATTACTTCTCTCTTTGTCTCCCATACTTACTCTAGCCACCAATCACAATATAAGTACCATAAGAACAGGAGTCTTGTTAGTTAATATATAGTAAATACCTGGAGTGCCCATCACATGTAGATGCTCAATAAATATTTGCTCAGTAAATGAATCAATGAATAATTATATTTTGAGTAAACAGATAATACCGATAAATTATATATGATTTTGTACTTGATTCTTTAACACTATGAAATCACCCTTTAGCATCTAGTATGCTAAAAAGCATCATCCAAAAACTTATAAGTAAATATCAAAAAGTGTTGAGCTACATGACTTTCCTCTCTGCTGCTGCTTTTTCCTTTCATCAAAGCCCGAGTCCGAGTGTATACTTGGGTCAAGAAGGGAATGTGTTTTGTCCTGTCGTCCATTGAAGCTCAAGTAGGTGGAATGTAGAGAGGTTTTGCATACAATCATTGACCTTCAGAAATCAGGAGATTCCTTTCTCATTTAGACCGCGTACTTCCAGGGACTATGTATTACCAATAGAACAAAGAAGGGAAAATCTGTTTATGATCACCTTGGTTTATTTTTTTCCTTACCAACTCTTTCCTTCATTCTGCATGTAAGATACTCTGCTAGGTGCTCTAAGGTATGTAAACATGAACTAATGACCTTTATTTCTTATGGTCTAGTAGTTTTTTTAAGCCTATCCTTTTATCCTCTTCACCAGGCAATCCAGCTATTGACCTATTTCCTTTCAGAAAGGCAGAAATCTAATAGGATGGGAAAATTAACTTTTTTTTGTTTTGCAGCGAGCACTGAGAAGGAAAAGTATTGGTTAACACTAGCTGCTGTAACAAATAAGTTTCAATCTAGTGGCTTACATTCTAGAAGCTACTTTGTCACTCAGGTAAAGTCCAGTCTTTGGTAGATGAGGTTGGGTGTTCTCCCCCACACAGGGTTTTGGTGTTTGATAGAAGCCCACTGATCTTCAGTGCAAGGCTGTTAAAGGTTGCCTTGAAGGAGTGGTGGAGTTTTGTTTTGTTTGTTTTAAATGGGCCTGTACACTTTCCATTGTGCCTTTTGTGTGCATGTCCTTGGGTGCAACTCAGTTATGTGGCCACTCCTTACTTCTTGCAAGAGAAACTTAGAAATGTAGTATAGCTGCATGCTCAGGAAAGACAAAAGCTAAACCAATTTGTTAAACAGTGATCCAATTTCTGCCACTGAGGCATAGCTCCCAGATCAATATAAGATCTATGGAATTATATTAAAGACAGAGTAATCATTATATAAACTTGTCGGTGTTTTATGATGATGTCAGCATGTAATAGTCATAAAAATAACTTTCAAAATTTCTATTTCAGTGGAGGTTTTCATGATTGTTAATTTAAGTTGTTAATTTGAGTGACTTCAAACCATTATGAACTAGAAATAAGAGAAAAAAGATCTTAAAGTTATCAACAATTGATGTTGCTATTTAAATTTGTTTAAAAGACTGTTTAAAAAATGCAATATTTTTTACTTCTATGGGATTATTACTATTTATTTATTTATTTATTTATTTATTTATTTGGAGCAGGGGAGGAGCAGAGGGAGAGAGAAAATCTTAAACAGGCTCCACACTCAGGACAGAGCCCAACTGTGAAATAATGACCTGAGCTGAAATTAAGAGGCAGAAACTTAACTGACTGAGCCACCTAGGTGCCCCAGATTATTACTATATTTTAGAGTTACACACTAATTTTGTCATGTTTTCCTGTTTTGACTAAGAGGTATCTTATGATAGATTAAAGTATGTTACAGATTTTATTTGCAAAGCTGGAAGGAGTTAAGGTGTGGGGAGAGGATGTCCTTTGAAAGGAGCTATTAGGTTATTTTCAAGCCATCCTTCCACTCTTGCTTTCATCTTTCATCAAAGGTGATCTAGGAATTGTATGATAATTAGTTACTTATTTGCATAATGCATTGGGTTCTGGAAATTGAAGATATAACTCTTATGGGTGGAATTTTACTGACTTTACAATGACAAAGCTGTTATTACTTTGCCTGAAGTCATGAACAACTACTCAAACATGTTCATGTTAATTGTAAGTTAGTACAAAGTAGAGTTGAAATGATATTTATTAAATATCTTTATGAACAGTCTTTTTGTGTCTTATCTGTTCTTCAGTTCAAAACTGCTGGAAGCTCTTGAAGGAATTACAGAGTTCCATAGAGAGGGAACCACCCTTATTTATTCTGTTAAAATGCTTCTCACAATGTTTTTTTAAGTTTTTTTATTTTGAGAAAGGGAGAGAGAAAGAGAGAGAGAGAGAGAGAGAGAGCAATCAAGGTTGGGGCAGAGAAAGTAGGTGAGAGAGAGAATCCCAAGCAGGCTCCACACTGTCAACACGGAGCCTGATGCAGGCTGAAACTCAACGATCCATGAGTTTGTCACCTGAGCTGAAATCAAGAGTTGGAGGCTTAACCGACTGAGCCACCCAAGAGCCCCTCTGACAATATTTTTAATTGCTTCCCTCTAATGAGAAAAAACATCAAGAACATAAGATTTTTTTATAAGGGATATCAGAATGAGAGAATTTCAGTCCTAGTCAACTTATCCCCCAACTCAGACACCACTTTTCTCCAATACCATTTTGAAAAGGAAGAAGGAGATAAATTCTGGATTAAAATTTATTTTGAAATTTCAAATGCAAAGTTTGAAATTATAACAATTGTTTGTCGCAGTTTGATTTTAGTGGCCTGTACTATTATTGTTATCAGGATTTGGTCAGTGGTGATGTTAGATTTGGCATACAGAATTTTTGTTACTAAAAGTAATCACCCTTTTTAAGTGTCCGAAATTAACCTGTACAGACCCCCCACAACTAGGGGTAAGAGAACATATTATGCTATTTCACATTAGTAATTTTATTAGAATGGAGAAATATGAGCCATACGTGCTAGTTTTATTGGTATGTGGTTCCAGCTGCATTCTAGTGGAAATAGAGTTCCTAAAATAAAGTTGAATGGACCATCTGTTTTAAAGAGAGCATGCAAAAAGAGTTGACTGTTATTGCCATCATTCACATTGCTTATATTGTTGAGAACTTCATAAAAGCAAAGCCCAGCTATACCAGGAATTATTGGGTTGAGGCAGCATATGCTTTCTGTATGATATGCTGATAATACTTTCTTGTCTGAGTCTACTATTTACATTATAAATGCTTAAGCAAGAATTCAGAGACCTCATTCATTATATCCGGTGGTGTGTGAAGTTGGCTTGTACAAACTTAAGAGAGCTGGTAATTAAATTTCTTAAAAACTTGCAAGCTTGTTGTGAGGCACAGCTATTATTAAAAATTAAATAAATAGTACATCAATTGTATTAGAAACGAAGTTCATAAATTATTTTAAAAATCTTTTAGTGTTTATTTTTGAGGGGGGGGGCGGGCAGAGCACAAACAGGGGAGGGGCAGAGAGAGAGGAAGACACAGAATCCGAAGCAGGTTCCAGGCTATGAACTGTCAGCACAGAGCCTGATGTGGGGCTTAAACCCACGGATTCCAAGATCGTGACCTGAGCGGAAGTTGGATGTTTAACCGAGTGAGCCACCCAGGCACCCTGAAGTTCATATATTATTAAAACTCATCACTTCTTAATTGTTGTACTACATTTTCTATGTTCTTGGTGTTATTTTTCTTCTGTTATTGTTGGTGTTATATAAAATCTATTATTTCTGTGTGATGGAAATTGTAAATAATAATGTATCACTGCTCGTCTAACTCTGCGTTCAGTGACTTTATTATGGTAGTTTGAAATTGACCAGTGTGGGATTATTTAATACCACAGAAATTAGTGAATACTACAAATCAGCACTTCTTCTTTCCCACCATCAAGAAAGCCAGTTGTTAAACATTTACCAGGGTATCCCTAGTAATATCACTGTATCGCATAGTTGCTTAAAAGATGGCATTAAGCAACCTTCCCCATAAGATAACTTGAACTCTCAACAACTCATAAACCCATTTTCCATGTTCAAGAAGTCGGGGGAGTGCAGTTGAGTGCAAAACTATTCACTGTTTTTTTTAAGGCAACAGCTAAAAGTTGCAAATTAACCCAAGATGAGTTGTCAAGGTCACAAGAGTTTGCCATACAACAAAGCACTCCATTTTGAATAGAATTTTAAACCACCACTTCTTTTATTGTGGCAGGAGACATTTGGGCCCAATGTTTCCTTGAATTTTGAAATATCAAGATAATCATTTATTTCAATGAATCTTAGGAGATAAAAATGAGAAGAGGTAGATTGCTGAGAAGAAATAAATAACTGGTCTTGAAACAAGCCATAAGATTTCAAAATATGTCTCTCAATATTATTTTTCTTTCACACATGCTTTTTTCTTTTTGGCTTGATCTGGAAAAAAAGATGCCAAAAGGCTGTGTTGTCTTTCTTTCTTTGGCAGCAGTCCTGTGTCGATCTGATGGCTGCAAGCCATGCACATAGTTTGGATAGGTTGGGGTAGAATAGCTGAAACTTCACGTGTGTGTGTGTGTGTGTGTGTGTGTGTGTGTGTGTGTGTGAGAGAGAGAGAGAGAGAGAGAGAGAGAGAGAGAGAGATAAGTCGTTCAGCTTTCTTCTGGATTCACCAAATGTAGTTCATGGAAATTAATTCTGACAACTTTTTCTCCCCCTTCAACATTTTTAACAAAAATAAAGGTCAAAGTCTTCCATCTAATCGTGAAAATAGAGCTTGTTGCAGCAAATTATCTCTTCTGCAAATGTTGCATTCCCTGTAAATAAAACATTTAAATATAAACTCTTTGAGGTTTAATTTGAGGTTTTTTTCTTTCCCAAAGAAAGTCTTTGTTAGACTGTGTGTAAAATAATTTCTCCTAAAAAGAAGAAAACTTGAAAGGAAGTTAAATAGGAGTCTTTAGGAATATGAAAGTCTTATCTCAAGGATGAAAGTGAAGGATGACTGTTCTCATTTCTGCTGAAAAAAAAAAAAATAAATGACATGTAAGAATAGCATTTCTCAGCTTAAGAAAACTGTTGAAATTTTGGGATAAGTTACATATTGAAATTATATAATCTACTCCAGAGTTCCAAACACAGGATAAATGGTCAAGATTGGTGTATGTGTGGTCTTGGCCTGTTTGCTGTGGGGTAAAACAGATAAATACTAACATTCACTTCTAGGACTCAGAATTGAATTATAACCCACGAATTAGATTATCCGCTCTTTAAAGGGCCCTTTTTGCTTGACTTTGTGGCATTGTGAAGAAATAGAAAATACAACTTTGTATATTTATATAAATAAAGTAATACACTATACACGTGCAGCACACTATGCTAGTTGAATGTTGCTAAACTCTATTTCCTAAATCATTATATGGAAACTATAAATGTATCATATAACAAAATCTTATCATGAATCTTACTGAAATAGTATTACTGTGTTAGGAAAACAAAAGTTTTTAGTAAAACTCCAAGTTTCAGTGTTTGGGAATTTGTATTTTATAAATTTGTTTGTATTTGCCACTTTTTATATTGTCAGTATTTTAATATATTGTTTCTATGTTCTTAGTTACTGATAAGCATCAATTCAAGCCAGAACAGATGTTATATAGATTTCGCTATGATGATGGAACATTTTATCCAAGAAATGAGATGCAGGATGTGATTTCAAAGGTAACATCCTCTCCCAGAACCTTTTATCAATAGCAGAATTCATGTCATACTTTACCAGGATGAAATGCTTTTGAGAGACTTAAAAGAATTCTTATGCCATAGAAAATGGCATAGGTAAGCAAGCCTCTCAATTCTTCTTGCTGTTTAAAGAGTTTTAGGGTTCAATCACTTTTTTTGTTCTCTTCTGTAGTTCTAAATGGAAGTAACGAAATTGCATTACTCAGAAGATCGTATATATTCAAAACAATGTCACATGTAGTAACAAGTGGCCATTATACTTGAATAAGTTAAAAAATAATGAAATATATAAAATTTATGTGACAGTTTTGTTTGCACACTTGACAAAATTTATATTGACATGTAATGAATGTGTAGTATGAGGTATTGCTACATAGATTTATTTTCTACTTATGTCTGTAAATTTTACATTTTAAGAAAAATAGTTTTAAAAACCCTTTTTATTGTTTCAGTTATATTATTTTTCTGATGTAGTATAATAGTTGAATAACTTTCAAATTGGTAGAGATTATACAGTGATTCCAGAATGTTTATGGTGGATTTATTTGTCTTAACAATTTCATTGGTCTGTCTTTGAGTGATCTTCCTTGTTTTTGACATATCTTTATTTTATAATAGGGAGTGAGATTATATTGCCGTCTCCATAGTCTGTTTACTCCAGTGATAAGGTGAGTCTGATTTCTAACTTTTGGACAACTTACAGGGAAATATTTATGTTACATAATAGGTAAATATCCTTCATTTGGAACCTCTTGGCTTATTTTGTTTTTCATCCATAAGTGAAAAGTTTACTTTTAAAGATTATTTTAAGTAATAACTTATCTTAAAATATTCCTAAATTTTCTGAGGCTCTATTTATGCAGTTTCTTCCATTCTTTTTATTCTGATTTCTAAAATTATTTGCCATTAATTCATACTAAACTACAGGTTTGATAATGAAATAATCCAGAGTTAATATTTAGTAAGTAATAGTTGACTGGGAGAGGATTTGGAAATACTATGATTACTGTATATTGGTTTTTTTTTTCATTAAATTGTATAATCGAAACTTGGATGTGTATTTTCATAATATTTCCTTCTAATACTTTTTTATCCAAAGAAAAGATTTTGTACTTGAAAATTAAAAATTATTTTGGAGTTAATAAGTAAAATTTTATAATTTTGTTCTCAACCATGATTTTCCTTCTGAAGAGATATGCCTGTCTTTTTGTAGTGGAATCATAATTAATTTTCAGTTTATGTCTTTAAAAAGACAGCAGAAAACTGAGTTTTTTATTGTTACTAATAAAAATGTTCAGGAGTATTATTGTATTTTTGTAACATATACACTTAAAGAATGTAGTGTAATGTTACACTAATTTCCAATGGGCAGATATCATTCAGAGTTTATTAACTGAAACTTAATATTCACATAGAACAAAAAAAATGGATGTGTTATTTCCACAATGAATGAAGAGGCTTTTCAGTTCATGGCTATGGAATCCAAATGTTTGATGTGCCATGTTTCTATTTTTCATTCTGGTTTCCAATTCCAAAGAAACTCAGAGCTTAAAAAACAAACAAACAATAAATTCAGAAGTTGCTGTTTACGTGTAATGGAATGCCCACTAATGTTTTATAGAGAACATGGTGCAGATCCTGGAGGAAGAAACAGAATCTTGCCCATCACTTCTGAAAGTGCCCTGTTCACGTTCACAAACAAGTTTTGTGAAGTGAAAAGAAGTGAAAACGAACTCATATTTATGGATTCTCTGCTAGGTTTCTAGCAGACACCCTGCAATTATTTTGGATAACTTAGTACTAAAAGATGGTTACTTCACTCAGTACTAATTGGCTACTTAAATTTGTTTTCCTGCTAAACTAATAAAAAGCAATAGTGGTTACATTTTTCATGTCACCTGTGTACCTAGGTACATTTTGTATGTGAGAAAATGTACTCTGAAAAGATCTCTTAGCTGTAGGGGACTTCTTATCAAGAAGGTTACCTTCTGTACGAGCTGATATGAAGGAATTGTTCTTTGGCTAGAAATGACAAGTGTTTATGAGTTGTCAAGGGAGAATTTATAGGGAAAAAAAGCCATAAAACGGATGGAATGTATGATAGTCATGCTTTTAATATGTGTGAACTCTGCTTACAAAAAGAAAAATTGCTTGGGTGAAGAATTCACAGCCCCACATGTGGTTTGTAATAGACTGATTGCCCTTTTCCTTCTTATTGATGCTTATGGAAACCAAAATGAAATGGGTACTGAGGTATCAGAAACATGGAGCTAGATTTTAAAAGAGTTTTTTAGTGTTTATTTATTTTTGAGACAGCGTGTGGGCTTATGTGTGGGGAGGGGCAGACAGCGAGGGGAGGCAGAGGATCTGATGTGGGGCTGCAAGTCACAAACCGCGAGATCGTGACCTGAGCTGAAGTTCCATCCTTAATCAACTGAGCCACCCGAGCGCCCCTAAAAGGATTTTTTTAAAAAAGAATCTGCTGTGATTACTTGCTAACCTAGTGTTTTTATTACTAAAATCTCAGAAATTTCAACCATATTTGAGGGACTTTTTTTTTTTTTATGAAAGTGGATAACATGAGGTGAGCATTAATTGTAAATTGCTGACGGGCTGAAGAACTGTGAACAGAGCTAGTAATTATTTATCACTTCAAGTTGTTTGAGGTTCGGATCTTTTGACATTTTGAAAAGACTGTCATTTTCCCTTTGATCCAGCCCTGCAAAATGAATGAATTATAGATTTCTGCCCTTGGGGCCCCATTCTGATCAGGAACACTTTGTTGGTATCTAACTTAACTTTGAGTGATTTCTCAGATCTGAGAAGTCTACTGAAAGGATAGGCTGATGTACAGTCGGCTGGTTCCCTTGGTTCCCTGGGGATGTGGTGTCACTTGTCCGTGCTCTGATCAGACAAAATGAATGACAGGGTTCTCAGCATGTTTACCTCAGGACAGCCTTGCTATCTGCCACTGCAGCTGAGCCGAACGAATAATCTTCTCGTGTGAATCCAGCCTTCCTGGAGAATTCAGGAATAAAAGGGTTGCTTTATTCTCTACATTTTGAGGACGTGTGTGTGTGTGCGTGTGTGTGTGTGTGTGTGTGTGTGTGTGTAGAGTCTATCTTGTTTTAAGGGAAGAAGTTCTATTTTGTTATTCTTTTATTAATGAGATATTATATTTCTAGCTATGTTATCATCAGATAATAAAACAGTAATAATCTACTTGGTATATAAGAAAATGTCAAAGAAGAAATGTCCTGCTTTGATATCATTGTGGGTCTCTTCTGATATGAGCTAATGGAGGAGTTTTTAAGTGTTATATATACCTTGTAAACCTCTCTTATTTGCACATAATTTGGACAATAGGTTCAGATTGTATAGAATCTTCTGTTGCACACTGATATTCAATGAAATGTTTTCCTGCGCTTACTTGTCCTCTTGCTTAATGGTTTTGGCTTCTGTTTCCTTTGTAGAGATAAAGACTACCATTTAAGAACCTACAAATCTGTAGTCATGGCCAACAAACTGATAGACTGGTTAATTGCACAGGTAAATAGATAAATAGAAGTTGCTGAGTTACTTTCACTGCTGCTTTAAACTTTGAGATGGTTTAGGAACTTTTTTTTAATCCCAGATGGGACGCAGTGAGATACATTGGCCAAGTGTATACAGCTAATATGAAGCAGAGTTAGGAGTTGAATCTAGGTAATCTGACTTCAGAGTCTTCAAACTTGATTTTTATGTTATATGGTTTCTCAAGAGGAAGATGTTCCTATTTTTAAAGTATCAACTGAGATCCATCAAGAAAACTAAGTGTAATTCGAGTATCACTGAAGTGTACCTATTCACATACACTGAACTTTCATGCAAGTGTGTATTCTATTTTGAAGTTGAGATTTTAGATTAAACCAATTACCTTTAGATAAAAACTAATTCACATATCCAGTGGGCTTACTAGAGTCAGAGCCTTTTACAACATTGTGGTCAATACGTGTCATTGGAATTGGTTCTGTACTTGGTATCAGAATTAGGGTTTCACATAGAAATTATAATCTCAGAGAATTCCCATGAACTTGTACTTTATGTTGACTCTGTGAGAAAACTGAAGAAAGTTGTTTTGTTTTGAAGCAAAATTTGGTGCTTAATAAAGTTCTGACTCCATGGAAATCAATGAGCAAACAATATTTCTCTTTTTGGCTTTTTTTTCTTTTCTTTTTTTTTTTTTTTTACTTTTCAAGTGTGAGCATTAGAAGAATAGAATAAGCTGCTCAAAAGCTGGACCGGGTTGCAATTATTTTTTTTCTTCAGATTTTCTGAAGGATCTGTTACAATAATGTCTTTAGAAATTCTATGTAGTAGAAATTGGGACAATGGACTGGGACTTCGGTAACCTAGCATCTGATGATGGTTCTGCTGATACATAGTTTTGCAAAGTTGGACAGGTCACTTAAACTCTCTGGATTTTATTTTCACAAGTGTTTATTACTACTTACAGGAATTATTATCTAACAGAGAAACAGGCACAGGGATATTAGAATAACTTGTTAGGACTAACAACAGATACTTTAAAACAAATGAGTGGACAAAACATACAAAACATGCATTGTAGGTGAATGATTAGAAGCGTGAAAGCAAGGATGAAAATAAGCACAGAGTTCAGGCAACAGTATGGGGCCAACCTGACTAGGAAGAAATAAGATGAGACAGCACTTTATAACCACAAAACTTACAACTGTAAGGTTTATACATACATACACACACACACACACACACACACACACACACATACACACACGTATTCGTATATATGAATATATTCTTAATATGAATTACATACTTAATATGAATAAATCAGAAGTTTTCTAGATAAAAACATATGTGAGGTAAAAACGTATGTATTGGGCTTTCTTTATTGCTTCAGTTGTATGATCTGATTATTTTCTCTGCAGGATAGTGACAGAGAAGCTTGCACGTATAGGCTCAGCCAGACAACCTACTTTCAGTGTCTTACAAGTCATCTGACGGTAGTTGATTTCTTTAGGTGTCCTTAAAGAACAAGGCCAGGAAAGTGACAGCACAGATCATGCACAATGATTTTTCATTAATTGTATTTAGTGTGTTTTCAGTATTTGGTTATTTTCTGGCTGCACAGTTGGTGTACAGGATTGAAAAAATAAGAGAAAGGGATCATTTGTAGTAGCAGTAAATTTAAGTTAACTTATATATTTTCATATTTAAACACTGTGGTTTTTCTCAGGAAATATTAAATCTTTGCTTTTCACTTAATGTCAAAAAAAGGTATTTTCATAATCAAGTGGATAAATATATCTATCTATAAATCTATATAGATATATAGCAATTAGGTACATTCTGGGCTTACAAAAGTAATGTATGGTGTAATAAATGAATGGCTTTGTCAGTGTCATGCTGGGAATGTCAGATGAGTTAAAGACAGAACAAAGCCTTTGGTTGCCTATTAAGTTGTGGTATATTTTTATGTGGTTAACAGGGGGATTGCCGTACCAGAGAAGAGGCAATGATATTTGGCGTCGGACTCTGTGACAATGGATTTATGCACCATGGTAAGGGATTTTTGCCCTGGGAGTATCTCAGTATTAAGGCATTTCAAGATGAACCAGCAAAACTGTGTGAGTCTTGCCACTTGTCCATGCTGGGTCACCACATCTGCATTCAATTTCACCACTGGTGCCATTGTTACATCTAGTTACTATTATCTACCAGTTGCCATGACTTCCCTTCTGTTTTTCTAGACTGATTCCAGAAAAGCAAAAGCTTCAACTAGAAGTTTTGGTTTTTTTAAAAAATAGCTTTTTAAAAAAAATGAAATAATTTTAGATCAGACTTGTAGTTCTTTTGAATGCCGGTATATTTTTAAATAATTAAATAAGGGACACCTGGGTGGCTCAGTTGGTTAAGCATCGGGCTTTGACTCAGGTCATGATCTCACAGTTTGTGAGTTCCAGCCCTGTGTCAGGCTCTATGCTGACAGCTCAAAGCCTGGAGCCTGCTTCGGATTCTGTGTCTCCCTCTCTGCCTCTCCCCAGCTCACACTCTGTGTCTCTGTCTCTCTCTCTCTCTCTCTCCCCAAAATAAACATTAAAAAACATTTTTTTTAACGTATATTTATTTTTGAGACAGAGAGAGACAGAGCATGAACGGGGGAGGGTCAGAGAGAGAGAGGGAGGCACAGAATCTGAAACAGGCTTCAAGCTCTGAGCTGATGGCACAGAGCCCAATGCGGGGCTTGAACTCACGAACCGCGAGATCATGACCTGAGCCGAAGTCGGACGCTTAACCAACTGAGCCACCCAGGCGCCCCCTAAAAAAAATTTTTAATGATTAAATGAGAACCTATATGGTGGGTAATTATTGTTCTTTTTAGAAAAAGATCTTTTATTTATTTGTTTTAAATGTTTATTTATTTGAGAGAGAGAGAACAAGTGTGTGAGTGGGGAGAGGGGAGAGGAGAGAGAGAAACCCAAGCAGGCTCCTCACTGTCAGTGCACAGCCCGACGTAGGGCTTGACCCCACCAACTATGAGGTCATGACCTGAGCTGAAATCAAGAGTTGGACACTTAAACAGCTGAGCCACCCAGGCACCCCGAAAAAATGCTTTTAAAATTATCTCAGAGGATAAAATTCTAAATCTCTAGAAAAAATCTGTTTCATTTTGTCTAGTAATTAAAGATTTTCTTTCTTGTTTGATGACTTCATTCCCCCTAAACTTATAAAAATAATGAGACTTAGTTTTTCCTCTCTGTTCATACCATCTTACAGATTCCACAAACCCAAACAATCTTTTTCACTGCTTTTATATGTTTATAAACAGATACTGGATAACACTTCTGCCTGTTTGTCAGTTACTTTCAGAAGGTTATCACCTTTTTTATGAAGAAGGAAGGATAGCAAAAGTTTCAGTGATGTTGAGAGCATCTTTGGTTAGCATACATTCATTTGGGAATTGCATTACATCCCACTATCTCTAGAACACTGTATGAGTTGTGAAAGAGAAATACCAGTCCATGAAGAACAAACTATTGAATGAGGAAAATGACATTATTATAAGGACTTGAAACTATAGTGTCAAGCTGAAAACCTTCAAATATTCTAATTGTTTTTCTCTTTAAAGCATCGAGGAGCAGTAATTTTATCTACATATTTTAAAATATTGAATTTAAAAAATACTGAGTTACAAACAAAAGTTTTCTCTACAAAAGTCTATGTTGGTAAAGCACAACCAATTGGACTGCTGCCTGGCCTTGCTGGTGTCTTCCTCACTCCTGTTAGACAGACTGTTTGATGGAGGAAAACAGTAGGAGCAAAATACCATGTACATTTTGGGAAAGTGCTTAGATCACATAGTCAAGACCTAACTTGATCTCCAGTGTACTCTCATTTGTGTTGTCAACTGTGACTTGTGTCACTTTTTAATTTGCGGTTGATAGCTTCATTTGCCAGCCAATCTTCCATTCAAAGATCAATACATACATCATCCAGTCAACAGTTATTATGCGGAACTCTGTAAAAATAATGAAATAAAATAGCTATGATTTTTTAAAATGTATATTTATTTTGAGACAGAGAGAACAGGGGAGGGGCAGAGAAAGAGGAGGAGACAGGAACTGAACCACCCAGGTGCCCCGAAATAGCAGTCATTTTGTATTGCTTTCTATATGGCAATGTAATCACACTTATTACTTCATTTTAGTTCTGTACATTATGAAGAAGGTTTTATTGCCCCATTTTTCTGATGAGGAAACTATGGTTCAAAAGTTTAAGTAACTTCTCAGGGGCTCCTGGGTGGCTCAGTAAGTTCAGCAGCAACTCTTGATTTCGACTCAGGTTATGCTCTCACAGTTTGTGAGATCGAGCCTTGCATCGGGCTCTGTACTGACAGCATGGAGCCTGTTTGGAATTGTCTCTCTCTCTCTCTTTGCCTGTCCCCTACGCTGTCTCTCAAACATTTAAAAAAAACAAAGAGTGGGAGCAATTCTCCCAATGTTACACCCAGAATCAATCCCAGACCTGGAGGTCTGTTTCGTCATAAAAACAAACTTTCTACAGTGCCATGGGACCATTATCTTCTCTTTAGCTTCCTGGTGCAATGAATCCCGCTGTTCCAACAAGTGTGCTTCAAAGTACTAAGGATAGATAAATAGAAATAGAGCAGATTCCTCTTTTAAAACATTTTGCCAGCTGTCGGGATCTCACTGAATATAAATTCTATCAATATTTAGCCTTTTTAAAAAAAATTTTTAATGCTTATTTATTTTTGAGAGAGAGACAGAGACAGAGACAGAGACAGCACGAGTGGGGTAAGGGCAGAGAGAGAGGGAGGAAGACAGAATCCGAAGCAGGCTCTAGGCTGAGAGCTGCCAGCACAGAGGCCGACATGGGGCTCAAACTCCAGAGCCAAGAGATCATGACTTGAGCCAAAGTGGGATGCCCAACCGACAGAGCGAGGTGCCCCTAGCCTTATTTTTAAAAAGGTCAACAAAACATAAACCCTATATCCTCAGGGCATGCCAGGAATCTTAGGGACTTTGGGTGGAAATATGAACATTCAGATAAAAGGGAAAAAACTGACCTTTATTGAAATAAGAATATTTGAGAAGAATGTTTTTAAAAAGAAAAGAACTAAGAATTAGTGGAAACTAAAATCACATTTCACCCAGAAGATACAATTCTGGTTTGAAGTGTTGGAACAAAAGTGACCACAGTGGGAATTGCTCACACACATAAGAGTAACATTTACCCATTTGAATTTTCCCATAATTGTTCAGGATATTAAAAACATATTCCAAATGTTCACTACAAATTCAAAACACTGTAGATTTCTATGTTTTGGATTGCATACATATTTTGATTCAATATAATCTTTTTTTTAAATTTGGATTTTAATCTGGAAAGTGACAGACGGGTAAGTACAGAAAATTCAACATTGAAAAAATACTCAAAAATTCAAAATCCTTAGCTAATAGTAACTTAAAGGAAACATCAGCTTGAAGGTGTAGAAATAGAACAGTATCACAGGGATCTTTGTGAATGTAACTTGTTCACTGAATGTCTATGAGTGTGGAAAATAATTTTGGTTTTTGGATTAATTGGAACAATTTGAATCTGTTTTTTGTAGTCCTTGAGAAAAGTGAATTCAAAGATGAACCCCTACTTTTTCGTTTTTTTGCGGATGAGGAAATGGAAGGATCAAATATGAAGCACCGGCTTATGAAACATGATTTAAAAGTAGTGGAAAATGTTATAGCCAAATCATTATTGGTAAGTTAACATGCTATATAAATTTTCTTCTTTTATTCTGTTTAATTTGTACCTGTTTTTGTAGTTGCTTTATGAATAATGTTAATATTTTGCATTTCAGATTAAATCCAATGAAGGCAGCTATGGTTTTGGGTTAGAAGACAAAAATAAAGTTCCAATAATAAAGTTGGTAGAAAAGGGGTCTAATGCTGAGGTAATGTAAATTAGCATTTTTATTTAAAAAATATAGAAGTTCCAAACAAGTTGAAATCAGCTTTTAAGTATCTTTGTTGAAAATAGTGTTACTGAATGATCTTATTCTGAAGTTCTACGAGATGCTCTTGGGATTTGTGACAGAGTCCATGCACTCAAAGAAAGCTGGATGGAGATTTTGTAAAGATCTATAGCTATGAACTTCATGACATCCTAGGAGGCCGCTGGGCTCATTCCATGACCCTGGGACTTCCCTGTGCATCTTTCTAGCTTGGAATGCTGTGGAGACTGCATCCAGTGGGGCTGTATTATGCATGTTAGATAACTCTTCCACTAGATCAAGGGCTAGGTCTTTTCTTTACCTGTCACTTTTGACTCATAAATATGACTTTCATCAGTAAAGCACATGCTTCGACTTCTTTTTTCATTAGGTTAATGCTGATTGATGTTCTCTCACCTCACCAGCCTTTTAAACAGAGGAATCTCCTGATCATTTATTCATTCATTCAGAATGATTTATTTAGTACCTATTATATGCTAGGCAGTGTTCTAGTCTCTGGGAATACAGCAGTGAACAAAAGATAAAATTTCCTGTCCTCATGGAACCTACTAGGAGTGTTATATCTTAAATATATCTGATTTAAAATATTCTCACCTTGCTCCCTGGCTTGTACAATGCCTTAATCCTCAAGAAAATGTCTAAATATATAAATCTTAAATAAAGCCTGTGAGAATGAATGAAACATGGCTTTAAACTTTGAATCTATTTAAAGTTGGTAGTAAACTGCCATCCATCCTCCTATCTGCTAATGCCCAAGGTTTCTGTCTTTTACCAAAACACAGACTCATGCAAGACAATGTTTTATGTATACCACATTAATTTCAAACAAAATAACTCTGGTCAACTCATACTTAGTGGGCTTGGCCAACAAATGACTATTTTTAGTAATTTTCTATGAGAAGGAAATGTTTTTCCCAGACATTTTCTGAGGGTGTTCTTAGGGCACAGCTTCATCTGTCTATGCCATTAATTAAATATCCTCTGCCAGGTTTTCATCATTTAGCTGATAATCAAAGCAGCATGTAGTTTATAAGCAGTAGAACTGGTTAAGAATGGTGGCCTGGTTGGAGAGATGATGTCTTCCTTGTTATCTTTTCAGCCTCGGGCAATCTGTGCTTTTTGGAGCTCTTTTTGTTGAGTTCCAGGCCATTCCTCTCCTGCCCTGAAGATACTTATGCTATATCATGCTCGTGATGCATATTTGGTTGTCATTGACGGCCACATAGAGGTTGAACCTCTCTGAGTTAATTGGATATTAAAAAAACACAGTAAAAAAAAATTAACCTAGTGTTTGATTGTAGTTTAAAGGATGAAATAAGAAAAAGAACTATAAGATACAAGAGAAAGAGGGTCACAGGAGGAGTACAAAGTTAAAACATAGAAGAAAGGGGGTGGGTTTCAGTACAAATGGGTGATCAAATTTAAAACTATGTCAAAGAGAATGATAAGTGTGTTATCTCCCCCACAGTGCTGTTGTGTGAAGTTGTATAAAAACATTGCGGGTGTGTTAAAATGTCAAAAATCTGTATGTTCTGGGTCTTTTCAGTTTCTAATTCTGTGAAAAAAATAGATTCCTTATTAAAATATAATTTTTTTTTTTTTTTTTTGCTATTTCTCTCTTAGATGGCTGGCATGGAAGTTGGGAAAAAGATTTTTGCTATTAATGGTGACCTAGTTTTTATGAGACCTTTCAATGAAGTGGACTGCTTCCTGAAATCATGCTTAAACAGCAGAAAGCCACTAAGAGTTCTTGTGAGCACAAAGCCAAGGGAGTAAGTTGTATGATTCATGTGGGATTTTTAAAAAAATTATACAAAAATGAATAAAATAGAAAATTTAAGTACACGTCAAGAATTAAGTATCTTGTTGCTTAGAACATTTAAACCTTACCAGCATCACTAATACTGGTATTTAAATGTTGGGAAAAACTGCTTTGCTTATAATACTAATGCTTGCTACTCAAATCAGGTAGTTTCAGTGGAAATAATGCTTTATTTTTGTGGCCCAAATTTTCCTGGTCTGGGTTGGGCTGACTTTGATTATAAGTGAAGAAAATTAGTAGAACAATTGATAATAAAGAACTGCATTCCCCATGTTCAGCTCTAAGAATTTCAGGTCTATGAGTTGGTTGATACCATTTATCATTAAATGTTTATAAGAAATGGTGAAGTTGGTGAAATACACTTGTGTGTGTGTGCTTGTACTTAGTAATATGTCCATTCTTTAAAAAAAAAAAAAGGTCTATCCATCTACCTATGATTAGAAAAAAATCATGTTGATTATAGCAAATTTAGAGGATAGAGTTTTCTAAATAAAGACATGTTTCTTATAATCATATCACCCATAAATAACCATTGTTATTTTTTGAAATTCAGACAGTTGATTTTTCTAAGTACTGATGCAGATTTACACAATCCTATGTTTATAAAATGGGATTGTGCTTTATAATCTGTTTTAAAATTTTTTTAACTTTTATTTATTATTATTGAGAGACATAGAGACACAGAGTGTGAGCAGGGGACGGGGAGAGAGAGGGGGTGAACAGAAACTGAAGTAGGCTCCAGGCTCTGAGCTGTCAGCACAGAGCCTGATGCGGGGCTCGAGCTCAAAACTGCGAGATCATGACCTGAGCCGAAGTCAGTCGCCTAACCAATTGAGCCACCCAGGTGCCCCTATAATCTGTTTTTAAAATTAATAGGGTATCATGTATATTCTTGGAAGATGTTGGCTTTTCTTCTACAAATCTCTTCTGGTCTAGTGTTCCTGTGTCACATTTCCATGATTTGTTTAACCAAGTAATTAATCAATATAATGCATATCAAGGTCTAAGCATCATGTCTATTTAAAGTACTATGATTATGTCAAAATTACTGTTTAAAATGTAATTATATCATTCGTTAATAGTGATAAACAACTTCATTAATTTTCAGGTAAATGAAGATTACCACTTTAAAAACAAAAGGTTTAACTGCTTAAGAAAATATTCTTAGTATGTATAGTATAGTATTCTTCCCTGCCTTAATATATATATATATTCAGCAATAGCTGGCAGCACTCTTTATCTTAGGAGTTGAAATGTGATGCAATGAGCTATATTCTGTAGCATTAAGTCAGCCAGGTTGCTGCTAAAACTTACCAAGGAAAGAGTGAGATGACTCATTAAAATTACTAATTTAGGGGGCGCCTGGGTGGTGCAGTCGGTTAAGCGTCCGACTTCAGCCAGGTCACGATCTCGCAGTCCGGGAGTTCGAGCCCCACGTCAGGCTCTGGGCTGATGGCTCACAGCCTGGAGCTTGCTTCCAATTCTGTGTCTCCCTCTCTCTCTGCCCCTCCCCCGCTCATGCTCTGTCTCTCTCTGTCTCAAAAATAAATAAATGTTAAAAAAAAATTTAAAAAAAATTACTAATTTAGGAAGACTTTGGGCTGGAGGGCAGAGAATAACCATAACAATGTCTTCTCTCTAAACCTAATTTTGATCTATTACTCCCCCTTTATCCAACCCTGTCTGGGATAAGGCTCACCTAGTTGCTTACCTCTGGACACTTTGAGGTCGCTTAAAAGGAAAAGGGCAGACTAGAAGGGTATAACGGAGTAATAGTCCAAAACAGTCATTAGAAAACATAAAGGTCCTCCCCATGGCCCTACTATCCCCTGATTTAACCCTGCAACTACTGATTCACTGGTCCTAGACATTTCAGCAGTCAGATCACTTCAGAAGCCCTCAACTTTCAGACTAAGTAGATAGGGGCAAATCGTCACTCCCAGTACTAGCCACTAGATGAGCAGCATTGGAACCTGTGTCCTCTTACTTCTTCCTTCAGTGTTTGTCATACACTATCTGGAACCCAGTATTTCTGGTCCAGGTTCAGGCTTCTCTTCCACAACTTGCTTGCTTATTGTGTTGCTTCAACACCCCCATCCATCCATTAAAAAAATGGAGGTGAGAAGAGTACCTGTGTCATGAAGATGCTAAGAACATTAAATAAATTTAGGTTAATAAAGAACTTAGTTATCTGTTCAGCACATAGTGTGTACTCCAGTGATGTTATCTGTGATGCTTACCTATTCTCTCATTTCATTTTTTTTCACTGCTTATTTATTACATCAGGAGCCTATCTTATATTTTGTTTCAAAACTATTTTAAGGATATTCATCTTTTATCTTTTACTTTTAATTTGCTTGAAATCGATAGCTTTTCCTTTATGTCTTTATGCTAATATAAGATTCCTATAAATCATTCTGTCATATTTTCTTACAATAGCTACTTATACTTGATGTAGTCTCCAGTCTGGGGGTAGAAAAGGCAAAAGTATGAGAGGTAAATACAAATGAAGTCTTCCTTTGAATCTAGCTGTATTTTACACTTGATAGCATCAAAGAGTTTTTCAAAAAGCTTTGTAGCAGATTATTTAGTGCACTTACTTCCTCCAAGAAACAGAATGTTCCTTTTGTATGAATTTAATTCTTCCTTTAATAGACAATATAGTGGTCACAGCAGGAAAGCGTATTTTCCAAAGATCATTTTATGAAGAGAGTCCCAGAATAAGACCAAAATGCATTTCATAGTGTTTTGTACAAAAGTTTTAAAGAAGTATATAATAATCTTGAAGATTAGAGTCAACCTTCCCTAGCAATATTAGAAGGATAGAAGACCTTGCTCAGAAAGAACTGAGAGACTGTTATGAATTCCTCACAATCCAAAAGCAATAATAACTCACCATGGCCTGAAAGCTCTAGGTCATTTCAGCAAAAGTGAAATCTCATTCATAATATCTAAAAGCATGGGCTACTTCTATGTTTTTGTTTCACGCTTAGAAAATGTATTTATTCCTTTTTCTTTTTCTTAGTTATCTTCCATTTTCATGTGTCTTTTTTTTTCTTGAAAGATACTAGTAACAAAGTGCTATTCAAGGGAAGTGCATAGAGCCTTTTACACCAAAAAGTATATAATTAAGGATAAAGGACAAATCAGTTCTTTGACCTATACTCCAGCAATGCACAGATCACTTCTTAGTATATAATGTAATTCATAATAATACTTTCAAGTTTTCCTAGAATAGACAGTTCACATTTCTATCACCGATGCTGGTGTGCCTGCCTAGGTTATATTTCAGATAGCAGTACCAGGCTCTGCCATGAGGCGTAAATGCTGTACGTTTGTGGCTTTCTCGAGTGTTCTAGGCACAGTGTTGCTCAAACTGCTCCAGTGGCTATTTTATAAGCTCTAAGTAAATTCCACTGTATGTAACTTCAGACTATGTCTAACGTGCCCTTGAAGGGCTGCCGACATTTATTGCATGATTAATTCATCATCTTTTGGAAAACAATTATTTCTTGGGCATAAGGGCTATCCATCAAAATTTATTGCATTGTATTCATTTGTCTTTGCTCTGGACTGCAATTTACGATACTCATTTTTATTGTTATGATGTTCTGCCTTATCTCATGTTCTCTGCTTTTCATTGTTGCTCTCTGATCTCTGGCTTCCTTCTGTGGAGTAGCTCACTTCTTAGTACCAAACTGGATATCCCTCACTGGTTGTCCTAACAGTTTACTCCTCTTCTCCTTTCCTTCATCTTCTTTTCCATGGGGATTCGTTGAAAATATTTCTTTTGTTATTCAGGTTCTCCTTTTGATGTACTCTTCTTTCAAAATTTCACTGAGTAAATGCTAAAGTTAATCACATTCTTAAATTATTTTGGTGTAATGTTTGACACATCTTTTTAGCTAGCTTTTTGTTGTTGTTCTTTGATGAAGTTCCCAACGGGTAGAAATGTATTAATTCTGTGTTTCTTTTATTACTTTTAACAAAGAAGTGTCACAGTGCACTGTCTTCTTTATAACAGTAAACTAAGGAGAGAAGCTTCCATTTTATTGAAGTGACTACTAGTTCATAGCATGGTGTGGGGCAGTTAACAAAGATTTCTCTTTTAATCTCCACTGACACCCTGCAAAGTAAGTTTTACCATCATCTTTTTGTGGAAACTCAGGCTCGGAGAAGTGAAGGCGTTCATGCAAGTTATTCAACTATCTAGTGACTTAAATGAGGATTCAGAGCTAGTTTTGTCTGACCCCAGAGCCTGTTCCTTATTCACCACCATGCAAATGACTGTGCTCAGTTGAGGAAGTCTTTCGTGCTTGGCTGCTGTGTGCCTTTGTGAGAGCATGCACCCTTTTTGTCTCCTGGTTTCTAGCCCAGTCAGTGTCTTTTACACAGTAGACCTTCAATACATATTTATTGAAAGAATGAATAAAGGAATGGACACTATTGTTTTAACCAATTGTGTGGCATGTTAAAGTCTTCTCACCTTGTTTTCTGATTGATTTTAGGACAGTGAAGATCCCAGATTCAGCTGAGGGACTTGGATTCCAGATCCGAGGATATGGCCCATCGGTTGTACATGCAGTCGGAAGAGGTGAGAAATCCATCCTGTAAAAACAGCTTTTTAGAATGTATGGATATTGCTTGCTAAACAAAAATATATTCAAAACGTGCATGCTCATGTTGTTATGAAGTTTCTCAGTCATATTTTTACTTGATTAGCTCAATGGTAATATGTTCCTAAAACAATATTAAAAAAAACTCTTAAAAATCGGGGCACCAATTGAGTATACAACTCTTGGTTTTGGCTTTGATCATGATCTCACAATCCGTGGGTTCAAGCCCTGTGTCGGGCTCCACACTGGCAGTGTGGCTGCTTGGGATTCTTCTCTCCCTCTCTCTCTGCCTCACCATCCCCCTTCTCTCTCTGTCAAAATAAATAAATAAACTTTAAAAAAGAAAAAAAAGAAATGTGGAATCTCAGGACCCACACAGGACATACTGAGTCAGAATCTACATTTTAACAATACCCTCAGATGATTTGTATGCACACCTAAGGTTGATAAGCTCAGCCCTAGAATAATGCTCTAATAACTTCTATTTTGTCATGACCTAACTTTCTGAAATGCTAGTCTGTGTTTTCAGCTGTGCTTCTTCACTTCCTATTTTAGTTTTAGCCCATTGCTGTAGACATCTCTCCTCATCTTCCACCCATGTCTCCAAAGTCTGTCTTATAGAGTTATCATGGACTTGACTGGAACGTACGGTAGACATTGATAACCTTCATATTAATTGAGCTTTTCTGTGGCATTTGTTTAAACTGACTACTCCTGTTTGCTGAAAATGTTCATCTCCTGATTTCTAAGTTGGCACTTGTCAGGTTTTTCTCCTCTGCCAGCTCCCTTCATCTGTCAACCGCTTAACTGTTGGCTCCCTCTTTTCTTCTCTACCTTCTTGTTCTCTGTAAGAAATCTTATTGATCCTGTTCCTGGAGATTTTTAAATCTCTATCTCCAGCTTAGATCTCTTTCCTGAGTTCCATAGTCTAGATTTCTTTCTTTCTTTATTTCTTTACTTACTTACTTTTTAATGTTTATTTATTTTTGAGAGAGAGAGAGAGAGACACAGAGCGCGAGTAGGGGAGGAGCAGAAAAAGGGGAAGACACAGAATCAGACAGCAGGCTCCGGACTCTGAGCTGTCAGCACAGAGTCTGACACCCAGCTCGAACTCACGGGTGGTGAGATCATGACCTGAGCCGAAGCCAGATGCTTAAACAACTGAGCTACCCAGGCACCCCTAGATTTAATTATTGATTAAAACTCTCACCTAAATGCCCCTTTGGCACCTTACAACTCAGTATTATTTCCAAGTGAACTTTCCATCTATTCTCTGAACTTGCTTTGCCTTCTGTATTCTCTTTATTGAAATGACTCTATTTACTCAGCACTGAGTCCAAAAGCAGAGGAGTGATCCTAGGGACTGTAGCCTCTTCATGAACTCCATCATGAGACATCAAATACGTGATCTCATTCTCCCCTTTTGTAACAAATGCTACTTTAGTTCTAGCCTGGAACATTGCAGTAGATGCTTGTTGTGATTTTGATTTTTGACTTAAGTTCCAATGATTCGTCCTTGGTTCTGGGGGTCATGTCACTTCTCTGCTTAAAATTCTCAAATGCTTTTCCTCGTGCATAGATAGTAAGGTTGAGGCTGTTAGGTGTTCACATAAAGTATGCAGGCACTTCGAAACCTGGCTCCTCTTGACTCTCCAGAGTCTTCACCCACACTCCCATTTTAAGCTCATACCAACTGCTCACATGCTCCCAAATGTCCAGGTTGTTTCTCGACTCAGTGCCTTTTTTTAGGCTATTTTCTCAATGGGGAGTGTCTCTTTTCCCTCCAAGACCTACTTTAATCCAGAAAAACCACTTAGTGTTTCTGGGAGTGAATGTTAATGAGAAGAAAAATACATACTGTCTTCTTGAATATAAATTATGTTCTCTAAAATGTTTAATAATTCCTTCATGGGAGAAATTGCTTACAAAGAGAGGCTCTTCTAACATAAATTTTGTAATCATTTGTATTAATTATATTCATTGTATTTATTAATGGTGCTGCATAACTGTTGATCGGCTCAGAACATCATATAATAATAGTTGAAAGTTTCTGAAAATTTTAACTCACTGGAGCAATATGCCACTTCCATATTTAAGTCTATATCTATGCAAATAAATGGACAGTTGATGTTACCTGATTAATTTTATTCTCCACAAATTCTGTGGTTCCTTGACCCTTTGTAGATATCCTGAATGCTTATTTTACTTAGCAAAGCCAGTCAATGGTAGTTGCTAACTGGCTGATTTTTTTTAAAGAATTTCTTTTAACTGTTCGCATTTTTAAAAATGAAAGTGAATATAGAATTGATGAATAATTATATTTTACACCTGAAACCAATATAATGCTATGTGTTAATTATAGTTGAATTTAAAAAAAATAAATTAAAAAGAAATAAGACTGAAATTTATAAACTATTACAAATTTCAAAAATGTCCTTGCAATAAATGTTACTGAGAAAAATAAATGAAAGTGAATACTTTTCTAATATTTAGAGATTTTTATAGAGTAAAGAAAGGTAAATAGGGCATACATTTCTGGCTTTCTCATTTTGCTTTTATATTTGTATATGTAGAATATTAAGACTGATGAGACATTTGAAAGGGGAAATAACTGATTAGCATTGTAAAGGTCACTTTAAAATATCCCTTCAGGGGTGTCTGGGTGGTTCAGTTGGTTAAGCGTCCAACTCTTGCTTTCAGCTCTGGCCATGATCTCGGTTTCATGAGTTTGAGCATCGGGCTCTGCGTTGGCAGCACGGAGCCTGCTTGGGATTATCTCTCCCTCTCTGCCCTTCCCCCATTCATGCTGTTTCTGTCCTCTCAAATAAATAAGTAAACTTAAAAAAATGTGAAAAAATATCTGAAGTATTCCTTCAAACTAATTCTCAGGGGTATGAGAGAATATTCTGTTAGTCACTGTTTGAATGGCCAAATTAAAAGTAGAAAAATTTTGAGAAGGCATTACTATCAGAACCAAGTTTATCAAGAACATACTAGCTAGATCTCTTATTATGTTTTAAAATGGCTTTCCATATTGTATATGTGATAAAAATGAATCTCATTCCTAAAGTTATTTTTTTGGCCATTTTCTCATTTTTATTTGAAGGGACTGTGGCTGCAGCCGCTGGTCTTCACCCTGGACAGTGTATTATCAAAGTAAATGGTATCAATGTCAGCAAGGAGACACATGCCAGTGTCATTGCACATGTCACAGCCTGCAGGAAATACAGGAGACCAGTGAAGGTAAGCTGCCCTTTGGCTTATCTGGGTCTCGCTGCAAACTTGCAGAGAAAGCCCAGGGGAGGACACAGGATGGTTTCTACTTTTAGGTTCACATTTAAGCACATCATTGTAAATCTCATGATGATTGTTTTATCTGCATAATTAATCATGATCAATTCTGCTTAAATGATTGCATTTTATTGTTTCAGTATTATCACCTGTTTAACAAGTGCTCTGGGGTGTTTTCATTTGCATTATGATATGAGTTTTCAGATACCTAAATGTTTATCACATTGAAATCCAAAGGTTTGATTTGTTTTTTTGACCCTTGCTATTACTTTAGAATATGTAATGGTCCTTGTGTGTCTGTGAAGGTTTTTTTAGGGTCTGTGATTGAGTTTTGTATATATTTATTTAAGTTACTGGATTTAGCTCTTTAAAGAAAATACCAAAATGTACTTGTCATTGCTTAAAATTCTAACCACTATCCTCTGATTAAATTTCAAGTGCCGTAGAAAAATAAAATTAGAATCCAAATTTATAAGCAAAGCTTATCCCATGAGGTACAAGTGAATATTGGGCTATAAGAGAAAATTCTCTCAAATTAATCAACTAAATGCAAAAGCAACTTTAGAGGAGAGGCTTTGTATTTTTTCTGCCATACGCAGTCAGGTACTCTTCCAGATTTGAGAATATGACTTTTGTCCAAACCAGAAAGAGCAATGGTTATTTTCTCATAGGCCAGGACTGACAGCCTATAAAATACTGAACCTACAAGAAACTGAGCTCCTCAATTTTGCTTGTTAATAAGGTCAAACTAGCGTAGCAAATTGGAATTCACGCATAGATTCATAGGTTATTCTGGTTGGCAATAGTTTAACAAATATTTATTGAACTATATCATTGAATGAATTTTTTTAAAAAGACACTTCTGAAATTATCAAACCTTTCCCCTTCAATCAGAATTTTAACAAGTAGCCAAACTGATTTGAGTTTCATTCCTTTTCATTTTCCTTGACAGTCTTCCTAGAGAGAAGTTGGTTAGTAACATGATTAAGAAAAGCAATAAACAGAAAAATTCACTCAGTGAGTAACATGCTGTATCCCATATCCATTGCCACAAAACAGGCTGTTCCAAAACTTATTGGCTTAAAACAACAGTGATTGATTATTTCTCTTGATTCTGCGGGGTGACTGAGTATTGGCTCCTGTGAAGGCACTGATATAGCAAAGTTTTGCATGGAACAGCTGGGCTCCGCACCTCCCCTCCTCATGGCCTTCCACTCCAGAGCTCCTCCACATGGCCCCCTTTTCCAGTCTAGCAGATTGTCCTTCCTGCATGGCGTCTGGATTTCAAGAGGGGATATTATAAGCGATCAACTGTATTTACATCATGCTTGGAAAAATCAGATCCCATGACCAAGCCTCAGGTCAGTGTGGGAAGGAGCTACACCAAGGTGTGGATACCAGAGTGTGTGGTTCCTTAGGGACCACAACAGGCTACCAAGATGTATTTGAATGATCAAATGTTAACTAGCATTGTAACGATGTATAGCAATATAATAATTAAACACAGTTGTGAAGTTAATACATGCAAGAATGGAGAATGGAAATTGTAGCGCACTTCAGTAGTGCAATTCAATTTATCATCTTACCTAAGAAAGGAATAAACTTTCAAGTGATGGAAAGCTGAAAGCATTTACTTGGTAGCCATTTCCTCTCTCTCATTTATCTAGATAAGACTGCAACTGCTATTTTAATTAAAAATAGGATGGGTTGTGATATGGAATGGTAAAAATATAGTTACATCACTTGGGAATGCAATGAAGTGAAAGATGTTCTTTCAACTTTCTTAATTGGTTTGATTCAAAAAAACATTAATTGGATCAAAATATAGGTGGTAGGAGAGCATTTAAATGGTTTATATCCTGATAAATGATTGATTCTTCAGAAAACTGTCCATCTAACATTTATTTATTTAAAAATGGAATTTAAAATTTACTTTAAGATATACTTGAGGCATTTTAAGTAAGACACTTGGGAAATACATCTTATTTACAAACATCTTTGGAAGGGGTGCTTGCTTGGCTCAGTCAGTTGAGCATCCATAGTTCTTGATTTTGGCTCAGGTCATGGTCTCACAGTTCATGGGTTCAAGTCTTGAGTCAGCCTGCACCCTGACAGCACGGAGCCTGCTTGGGATTCTCTTGCTCTCTCTCTCTCTGCCCCTCCCACGCTTGCTTGCATGCTCCCTCTCTCAAAATAAATAAATTGAAACAAAACTCAGAACCACTTTGGAAGATAAAATTTCAATCCTAAAAAATTAGTTTGTTAAGCAATATAATTGCCATTGACTTTTTATTAGTCTCTTATGTTGATTTTCTTTCTCTTTCAAATTTGGTTATCTTTAAAAAAAACTAGAAGAATAAGTAAGATTGTCAATCCTCCTAAAGCAGGTTTATGAAATGGATATACATTTTAAGAAGCACTAATATTTCTAAGGTTTCATTTCCCCTCCTCATTCCAGCAAGACTCCATACAATGGGTTTATAATAGCATTGAGAGTGCTCAAGAAGACCTTCAAAAGGCTAACTCTAAACCCCCAGGAGATGAAGTAGGGGATGCATTTGACTGCAAAGTAGAAGGTGGGTTCCTTCTTTTCCTCCTTGATAATGGTTTAAAGTGTTGGGATTCGCTACTGATGGCCAAGAAAGAATTCTTGAGACGTCTTCAGTGCAAAAAGGTGGTTTTACTAAAGCATGGAGACAGGACCCATGAACAGAAAGAGCTGCACTGGGACTGTGAAGAGTGATTATATATACCTTCAGTTTGGGAAGGGCTTAGGGATAGCTTACATCTCTGAGGTATTTTGGAAACATGCTTTCCAGGACCTTGAGGGGCTAGCTGCTGTTACGAAAAGGTCATTTATTTACCATTCAGGAACAATTCAGTCATGAGACCCTTCGGACGTGTTATCAGTGGGGCCATAAGCTTGGAGTATGATTGCTAACCTGTCTCTTGGGCGGGGGGCGGGGGGTGGGTAAAGATAAAAGAAGCTTCCAAAGCAATTTATTTATTTA